GATATTGCTTTATAGTTTTAAACAGTTGCTCAGTTGAATTATCGTGAAGTGTTAATCCTAACTCAGCTGTAGTAAAACAGCGCCTTCGCGACAGAGCTTCCTCTAGTGACACATTAATTGAATCTATCAGTTCCATCGTAAGCTAAAATGTAATACTGTTAATCATTCGTTGCAGTGGAGTTCTAAGATGGCGCTCCTATTTTTTGAGAGAGATCGTTCAGGGGCGTAACCAGGATCTGTTGATCATTGGGCCGACTTCACTAGTTCAAAAACAGCTACTGGACCACGCTATGATAATTCAAGAAAAAGCTGGGCCAAACGATATTTTTTCAAACCTTGAGCTGGGAAAAATCATGGAGTCCAAAATCTTATCAGGCCAAGACTCAAATCGAACTGAGTCCTGGCTCTGGTAGTTGCGCCACTGAAATCGTTAGGCTTATAAAAGAAGCAAAATATCAACTTTTTATCTAAAGGGCCACTAATGTCGAATACTTTGACACATTATGACGTTTAAGTGTGGTATATAATAATAAAATAATAAACTGTGTGTTTATAATCTATAATATTATAGATTACTAAATAATACCAGGAATCATTCCAGACTGCAGTAAACTAATTTAGTAACCAGTAAGTAATTTTTGACAATTGTCGAAATTACAAGGACTTACGACAACAGCCGATGTCGATTGGTGGAATTCCGTTGGCAGAACTCCAACTGTCTATCTTCTGTTTTACCGGTTTAATAACTAGCTGCTTTTCTTTTGATAAAGTGCTTTTTGAACTAACAAAGCATACTCTTTATTCTCTCTAGAACTAGTTAAAACATTTTGTAATGGAAATAGTAAATATAACTTTTTTTATGGGAAAAATGTGTTTTGATTACCAAATTAATTAATAGACAAACAACAATATATATAACCGGCAGATGGCAGAAAAAGAAAAGTAAGCATGTTTTTCGTGACACGACATTTCCTCGAAGGCTGGTTGATTGGAAAAGAAGAATAAATGAGCCTGGGTTTTATATTTTATATATCGTGTTGATACCATTACAGATATACAGTTTCATTGCTTATCGTGTTAAACCGGTTTTCTCTTCGGTAAACGATAAGCTGAAGCTCACTATTTATCAGCATTGGCTGGTGTATAATCAGGACTTTTATAGCAGTGCAGAACCCGTGACACGACATTTCCGCGAACGGCATGTGCAGTGTGAGAGTGAGATCGAAAAGTATTTTTACACAAAACATATTTTCACAAGGAAAAAAGAGATGGATATCATCAAAACACAGAGAAAGTGATTAAAAAGACCTGGAAAAGATAGTACGAACACAGAAGAAAGAGAACACATAGTGAATACACAGGGATCGAAACATGCTTCGAATACCTAGACCAAATACATTTAGATCCAGGGAATGATCCCGAATACAATATTACTACGAGATAAGCGAAGATGGAACATCACAAACCCAAAACCGGTATTATGATGACTTTAAAATAGTGATGCGAGTGCGATGATTGTTCTCGGTTAATTTGTATTTTTTATGATGCACATTTCGAAGCTCATAACTTTCTTACAATAAGAGTTAGCGAGGATCAACCAGAGGCTATTTTGTAGAGCAGCATGTTATACTCCATCTTTCTATCATTGAGACAATTATTTAAAGACTTATTTTGATATAAAAAAATTGGTGATACAAATCGAGTCAGGACTTCTGGGCCACCCTTTATGTGCGCTCAATCGAGTTTCAAAAGCAAACCTTTTATATAGGTATAATCAGTACACTTGAAGTGAAAATATTCATCATTGTCACCCGGCCCTTAATTAGAAAAACATAAGCAGAGATGGGCAAGTCATGACATTTCCAGTCTCAGTCATTTTTTTGAAAATCTTCAATCTTAGTCAAGTTTTAATGACAAAACTATCACAGTTCAAGAAAATTCTCAAACTTTTTTGTTATGGAAACTTGATTGTGGTCAGTGAGAGCGAGATTAACTGTTCAAAGCACTTTGGTTGGATTTTGTCAGGATAAAATATTTGGAAACATCCGGAATGGTTTATTACAATTATAGATCGTAGGCTATGCACCTTGGACTTTGACTAAAAAAGTCCTGTCTAACTCTGGAAGTTATGTTTAAACAATTGATTCAGTCTTCTATCCAGAGGTAGTTTTCAGAGTTGAATTCGAATTTACGCACATTCCGATGGTAAGGCGCGCGTAATTCAAACTTACCGAGGGTCTTTATTTTTGAACGAAAAACACATACTCGGATAGGAAAAAGTGTGCTGACTCCCAATATGACCTTTTTACCTCAATTTGACTGAGTTTTCGGGGAGAAAATGGCAAAATAGTGAGACCAGGCCGGAAACTGACTGTAATTCCCAATTTTCTGGATCAGAACTCAACTTTTTAGCAATAAAAATATCATTTTCGGAATCAGAATCAAAAACTGAGTCGATTGATATGTATTTCGTAAGTTTTAATTGATTTTCAATTTTGAGTGAAAATCTCGGTAATTTTTCAACGTGAAAATTCGAAAAAAATCAAAGTAGTCAGATAGGATAGATATACATATCAATCGACTCAGTTTTTGATTCTGATTCCGAAAATGATATCTTTATTGCTAAAAAGTTGAGTTCTGATCGAGAAAATTGGGAATTACGGTCAGAATTCCGAGTTTTTCGTCTCTTATTTAAAGAATCTAACCTATTTCTATATTAAATAACAAAATCAAAAAAGTCTCTGTGTAACTTTGTAATAATAAATCGAATATTACAACGAGGAACAATCAAAAACAGATCAAGATGCGGTACACCACGAACCGTTCGAACAATTGAAGAAAACACTGAAACGGTTACTCCATTTAAAAAAGGGGTAAAGTCAAAAGAAAAGTGGTATTTGAATTACAACGACACAACATTAAAGGTAAAAGAACAGCAGTGCAAAGAACAATCAAGAAATTAAATTTGAAACCATTTAAATTGAAAAAAGCACAAAAGTTGACAACGTTAAACAAACAGCAAGGTGTTGAAAAAATTAATTCGAAAATTTGGCACAAGAAAGAGTGGTCAGAAATGGCAATGGCACAAGATTATTAATACTGACTTTTCTGGAATATTTACAATCGAAGGTTTTTGGAATACTAAAAATGATGTCATTTATGCTGAACATTCATCTGAAATTCCTGCTGATTTAAGAGAAGCATTAGTAGTAAAATTTCCAAGTGGTGTCATGTTGTGGGGAGCTATTAGCTCCAAAGGCTTGATGCCACAAAGTTGTCCTATCAATTTTACTCAATTGTTACGAGATCAACTCCCGCTTGATAAACGTAAAAGAATCTACATGGCCGGTGATTTGTATGCTAAATTTTTACGTGAAGAAGCTATTCCAACAATCAATGAAGTGGTGAAAAATCTAAGCGAAGTCATATTCCAAGATGATCAAGATTCAAAACATCGAACGAAAGTAGCTATGGACGTTGTTTCTGATCATTTCGAAGAAAGAATAGAACCAAATGATGGAGATACCAAATTTGCGGATGTATGGCCCATTGAAAACATTTGGGGAATCCTGAAGGAAAAAACGAGAGGAAAGAAGTTTCAAAATCTTGATTTACTCGTTGATTTTATTAATTCAGAATGGCGAAAAATCTCACCTGATCAATGTGAAGCTGATCAAGTTCACTTTACAGCTCTATTACGGGAGACATCATTCCTCGACAAAAACTGTCTACATTTGACGAACAAACTTTTGGATGTTGTGGATTTTTAAATCGATAAGTTATGTGATAAATTTCAGCTCGAAAACTGACTTGTTGATAGATATTGCAAGAAGGCTTTTGCCGACATTACTAGAGCTTTTTCATGAAAAGAGATTCGGGGCTTGGGTGGATTTCAAATGAATGTAATAGTTAGTGCAGATGATCTTTGAATTTCATGTCCATTACTTTTTGGCATACATTTCAAGTTGAGAATATGAAGAAGTTTATTTGTCAAAATGGAAAAGAATTACTTTTTGGAAAAGAATTGAATTTGACTTAGAATCCACCATGTTGTGTTTATATCCAGTAAAGTGCTAATTTTCAACTCTAATTTGTCAACAAAGTTAAGGTTCAACTTTAAGTGGCGACTCGAATAAGTGCGATGTCTATCAAAAACACGCAATTGAACGTATCATATGTCGACACATATGTCGTGTGAAATAGGTTTTGGTTAACATCGAAAAGAACTTGGATGTTCAACATTCAATTTTTCTTTTCAAAAAATTCTCCAGTAAAACAGAAGATCGACAATTGGATTTTTGCCAACGGAATTCCACCATTGTCGTTTTTACTCAATAGATCTGATTCTCGATGAATTTCAGATTGTTTTTCGGCTGTTGTCGTAAGTCCTTGTAATTTCGACAATTGTCGAAAATTACTTACTGCAGGACCGGATTAATTATCGCTTTTTGCGTGAAAACTTCTAAGTCCTGAAACTTCAGTCGACCTACTTTCAGCCATATGAATGTCCTACAGTCCTGAGATAATCTCATGACACAGGACTCTCTACTCCTTTTTTAACTTTCAGGAGATGACGTTCATTTCTTCAGAAAATCGTTACAGAAAATGATGACAAAGCTGGATAGAGAAAAAAGATAAAGCTGATTACCAGAATGCGGTTACTGCTTCGCACCGCATTAATTATGCCAATATTCTATAACATCAGACTCGATTGCTATAGTTCAAAATGCAATTCGCGAGCAATAAGATTCGCTTACTATACTCTAAGGTATTGGTGACCATTCGTCCAGAAGACAGAAGAGACTGTATAGGTGGCGGCGGCGCCACAGGTGGGCTCAGCCCACCTTAGAATATTTTGAGCCTACCCAGAGCATTTTTTTCGGAACTACATTACAAAATTAAGTGAGGCCGAACGCATCCTAGTCAAAATTCAGGGGCCTGAGTACACCCTAGTCTAAATTCTTGGCGCCGCCGCTATGTATAGGTGGTTGATATAATCTTTATTTATTTAGAAATGTTGAAAATATCATTACAAATTATGAGAAGAAGGAGACGAACCCATTACATCTTAACATAAATTGACTGAGGACAGAGGACAGCAGTTTATTGACAGTTTTCCTGAGCGCTTAATGGTTTATCAGCGTAGGATTTCTTAATATACCCTTCCGGATTATAGAAAAGCGTTTTTGTAAACCCAAAAAGGTATCGGAGTTGGATTAATAAACGGTCAGGCTATCACACTTTGGATAAAAAATCCATTTGTTTTCTGATGAACCCTTTCGATTTTTTAATGAACCCAAAAGGGCTTTTCTCATTTAAAAAACCCTACGGCAATTCTCTTAAATAAAGGGGCTTACTGAAATACGGAAAAACGTATTTTAAGAAACGATAAGGGGACAAAAGTTGAATTATTCAAGCTATGAGTTGTAGTGAAGTTCAACCAGCGTTTTTTTCAACTGTTCAGAATGTGGATACGTGTTATTTTCCCATCGATCCAATGAATAATACCAGCTAGTTTTCCAGTCAGTTGTGTTTGTTAAACTTTTATCTTATTATTAGCAGATCAAGAGTCGTGTCATGTTGTTTTGACACGATCATGACACGACTAGGTCATACAAAGGTTCCGTAGACGTGACAAATATCTTCCAGAACGCTTTAAGGGTACTTTCGTAAACCTTTATTCGTTCGGTGTGGTTTCAGTTTCCGAACGCTTTAAGCGTTTTTTAAAAAACAGATTCTTTTTTACAATGTAGGTGGTTACTCAGTGCTGCTCTTCTTCTCTAGCAAATCTATTTTTAATCAAAATGAGTTTTAGTTCGAATCCTGTCCCTTCCTTATTTTTATTTATTCTGGTTTCCTCCTGTATGGAGATATCTTAGTATTTCTCGCAGTTAGTATGAGTACTTTAGTACTAAGAAACATTTTATCGAGATAAAAATACTGGAATTTTTTGAAATCTGTACTTCAGTTTAGACAAAAAAGTTGCATCAACTGTGAATAAATTAAACCCAGAAGAGTAGTTTGGCAGAGTGTGAACCATTTTAGTTGAGGAAAAAACGACGGAAACTCATAACACTGACCACCTCTTGAGGAAGGAGTACAACCAACTTGAGTAAAATTAATAATAACTAATAATAGTTAGTCACTGAACACATATGAAACGATGATTTAAGTTAACTTTCTTCATCGAATTATAACTGTAGATCATATAGTATATTTTTTTGTAAAAATCTCTGAGAATTATTCAGTGTCGCAGGTAGTGGCTAGGTGTAGTGACTTTTGAACAAAAACAAATGAAGGGGTTATGTGTTACTGTACATTGCCACTGTAAATCTTCAACTGAAAATGAGCAGAATACAATCTTTTGTCTGGTACTCATTGGAACATGTATTTGTTTTCGTTTTGAACAAGGCTAATAGATGGATCTTTTTTTTCAATAAGCGTTGTTATGTAACGACACCTATATGAGACACATTCATTCGTCATTCACTCTATCCATTCGTTCTATTTTAAGTCTGGTCATTTGTTATTATTTATTTTCATGTATATTGGTAGACTATGTCGTAACGTTGCATTGTTTTCTGTCTTTCTCTGTTTGGCATTTGTATAGATTGAGCACACTCTCTACTGGCACTGTTATAAAAAATAGCACAGACTCTACTTCTATTTATAAGAAATTCAGAAAAAAGAATCGTATAGTTGTCTGAAGACATTTCAGAGAAACATCTGGTCAAAGATGGCTTTTTAAATTTTTCGATCATATAATCATGTCTAGCGGGCAAAATTAACCATATTCTGACGTTTTCAACTGGTTCTGATTGTGGTTGAGTGACTTATGAATTTTTCTATACTAATTGAAAACAGCTGAATACCTTTGGTTTTCACCAGATTTTAGGACTTTTTTCAGCAAACAATAAACAAATATTATCACAAGACCCAGCATGATGAGTCACCTGTGATTCACTAGTTTTCGAGGCTTTTCTTGAACTTCCGAACTGCTGAAAATGAAAATTTCGCTTGACTCGGATTTTGAGAAGGATACTTTGGACTATGAATCTAGAAAAAGAATCAATATAATCTCGTTGAAAAGTTATAAGAGATCGCCTGCCCATATCGATTGTTTTCAAAATTCTTGCAGAAATATGTATTTTTTGGCACTTGTCGGGCCACACCAACGCAACGTCACATGCAAAAACAAACAGAAAAACGATAGTTTTTTGCCTTTTATTGCAGAATCCTTTTTTTTGCGTTATACTGCGTGTGTTTTTTCAATACAATTTTCGCAAAAAGTGTTTTGGTTTAACAATGCAAAAAAGATTATGATGCAATAAATCATCAGAACTAGTGTAAAATCTGAAAAGTCTGAATATGTGCAATCCTGTATATTTATAAATAGTCCTTTTCCATCGTACATTTACTCAGAGATTTTCTAAGTGATTTCCTCTTAGCTTGGAGGGGACCGATCTGCTGCCAGAAGGAGTGAGCCGCAAGGCTTGCCTCTAAACAGGTTCGATGAACCTGTCCCGTGATTGCTTGAGAAACACCGCATAAAGCATTATAATTACACATAGTAATATTTTATGCATCAAAAACAATGTATTTCTTTACGTGCTTAAAAAGGTCGTTTTTTTTCGAAAAGTGGACCTTTTTTGTAAATCATTTTTTTCCGACAAAATCATATCAACACAAGACAACAAAATGTGCATTCGACGCGTCTTTTCAAGTTCTGTCTGATGAAGGGATTCGCATTGCGATTAGAAAACATTTAATGATTGAAAAAACCAGCTCTTAACGGGGATTTTCCTCGTTTTTCTAAGTTTGAGTACATGCTGCACCATTCTACGGGATTCTAGAACGTGGAATGACATATATCTCGCATGTACTCGATGTGGGCTTTTAGAAAAACAAGTTTTTGTCTTTGGTCAAGTACTTTCAAAACAGACGGAAATCGTGTGGTGTTTTCGCTGAAAAAATACTTTTCCGTGAAAGTACTTGGCCAAAGACAAAAACCTGTTTTTCTAATAGCCCACGTCGAGTAGGCTATTAGTGAAACTTTTTGTCCACTAGTGATTTTGTAGCTCTAAACATATAGAAACTGATCTGACGGTACCGGCTCATGAAAGTGTTTTACTAAAAAATGGTGAAAATGCCTACAAAAGGATTATTCTGCTGGAAAATGGGATTTCCACAGATCTAGAAGACCACCGTGCCGTTGTTCTAAAATTTTTTAAACGTGATATTCGTCATCAGGAGCCCGAGTTCTACTAGTCTTGTTACTCTCGAACAATCCGGACAAAGTCGATGTAAACTCTGGTACACTTTCAAAGGAATTACCCGGCTGTTTTTACAAAGTTTCTGCTTTTAGACACATGCTCCCAAGTCTCAAATGACAAAAACTGAAGTTCTCTATCAAAATGTATTTAGAACACAGTCATGTACTATTCATTTGTTATACAGATGACAATATGAAGTAATTCGTGAACTGGAACGGTTTTGTCTCAGTGTTGGAGTTAAGCTAATAATGCGTGGTCGAATTCATCCTTCTGAACGAACAATCAGAAAGCGTTTGCTATAAACAAACGTAATTAGTGTTTTGAACTATAAAAGATGCATTAGAAATTAACATGCAAACTATTCTAATGGTTATTTCAATACCATATTGACTTTGCAGAAGTAACTTGTAGGGGTCTGCAGGATCGAAAAAGTTTGGTCCCGGTCCCATAAATATTTTTTCATAGCAGCGCTGATAGTTTGAAAGTCAGTGCGTGAG